TAAAAAAATGTTGTTTATATTATTTAGTTATTAATATAATAATTTGTAAATTTTGTTTTTTAAGATTTCCATATTGCAAGCTCATTTTATTTTGAAACGTTTCCAGCATTTTCTTTAGATTTCCCCGATTCCTATTTCTTTAGTTGTTTACGTATGCATGAGGAACGGCGCGAAAAAGATGAAAAACATATCGTTTGAATTATAAACAATTGGAAGCGAACATGGCTTTCAATAATTTCGATTAATTTTCATGATTGCTTCGTTTGGCTTTAATTGCACGTTTTGACTGACTAATGAGTGGGTGATGGAGGTTTGGCGTCAAGTTAATTTTCAGATTTAAGAATATTTAAGAATAATTGCGAATATTTGAGGTTTCTCTTCCACTTGGTATACAACCTTGCGCAATTTGAAATTTTAAATTCGGTGGGTGGGGTTTTCCACTGCATACTTCCGTTACGTGCCGTGCAACCGGAAGTGCACACACACAAACACACAAACACACGGACCAACACCAACACACTCAAGTGCATGGGGGTTCTTATTTATATATATTACTTCAATGGTTTGGTAACTTTCAAGAGGGTGTTTGACCCATAAATGAATTTATGCCAATTTAGAAAGGCAAACACAATTGTGGGTGAAGAAAAGCACTGAGCAAGAGGGGATTAAGCGTGGGCGGGGGCGTTAGCTAACCAATTAAAACATGTTTTTTTTTGTGAGGGGTTGTTTATTTGTAAGATATCCCCTCGTGTTGGTAACAAGGGGCAGCATAACCGGATATATTTGTGCAATTATTTTAATGGCCTAGACACCAACACCAACACAAACACACACACACACACACACACATAGGTAAGGGACAAGCCCTTTTTTCATTTGAAATTTACTTTCTTTCCTCTAGCTTGACGTTTGACTTTAGCCAAATTAAATTATGTTTTTTTTTTATTCACTTTAATAATTATAAATATTTTTCGGCTGCGCGCTGTTTTTCCGAGTTTTCCGTGCGCCTTGGCCAGCAGTCGACTTGCAACTGAGCGAGTGAAAAAGTCGAAACAGCTGAAAAACTGCAAGGACTCCCGACCCCAAAACCGAATCTTACAGCCCAGACGAACTCTGAACCGAGTTTAAATGGCTAAGGGGGTTTGAGATTCCATTGAATGGTGGCCCCAAAAACTCAATGAAAAAGTCAAGCCGGCTGCAGGCGATGCAGGGCGCATGTGTCCTGTAGTAAAACGGCGGCAAGGATAATGAACTCTAGCAAGTGCAGGTCGCTCCATGGGGGTAAAACATGGGTGAGTGGAAGCCCAAAATTCTTACCCTCTTGATTAATCTATTTTGCATTCTGAATTTTCAATTAAAATTTAGACTTCCCCCTCAGTAAAGTTATATTAAAAATTTGCATGACTTGACAATTTAAAAATAACCGCGCACCTACAGCCATATTTGCACCTTTACCAACACTATTGCCAACGGATTTTTTAGAGATAAGCGGCTTGGCTATACTTTGATAAAATACTAAATAATTATTTGCTATAAAATTCTTAGCCAAATCTTAATGTGTGTGATTATGAAATTACTATAAAAATTACATACGTTTAAAAAAAAAAATAGTCCTTAAATCTTGAGTTTGAGATTCATTTTAGGTATAGGTATATGAAATTGTACTTTTAAAACCAAATTATTATACTGAATGTGCACAGAAATAAATATTTTTGTAGTAGCATATTTTGGATTTCTATATCTAAAGTTACTTTTTAACCATTATAAAAACGAACAAAAAATGCATACAATAATAATAAAAATTGCTTTTATTTAAAAAAATTATATTCCTAATTTAATTATTTTTGAAAAGACATTTTTAACAACCTGCGATTGAACGGTGATTTTAGCGAATTTCCCGCTATACAAGTGTGACCTTACTTTTATGGCCTTTAGAGCAAAGCGTTTTGGTATTTTGGGCAAACAAGTCTGATCTGTTGCTTACAAATAAAAATGCAGCTAATTTAACAAATTTAAAGTTCATAAAAGTATAAAACAAGCTATTATAATCCACTGAAATGTGTGTTTCCTTCTATTCGGAAAAGCATCGATGGCTTCGGCTGAAACTGTAGCATATGTATTATTGATTGCGCCATCGATGGACATCTAGCGATGCTAACCGAGGATCAGGAGTCGTCGGAGGAACCAGAAGGACCCTGTGCAGTCTGGAAATACCGCTGCAGCGTGGCCAGATGTCCTTACAGGACCAACAGGCCCTACAACCTGTGGCGTCACGAGGAGTCTCACTCGAACCCAATGGAAGCCAAGTCGTATGGCTGTCCAGTTTGTGTCTACAGCACCGACAAGGTGTCCAACCTGAAGCGGCATGTGTCCACCAAGCATCCGGGGGCGCAGGATCGGCTGCCGGAGGGCCCGTCTCTTGATCGCAGCGCCAAGATACAGTGTCAGGTAATGGGCTGCAGGTACGAAACGAATCGACCCTATGACCTTAAGCGCCACATGATGGTGCACAACAATCCGGAGAAGAGTCACAGGACCTACAAGTGCTCCCTGTGCACCTACAGCTCCGACAGAAAGGCCAATCTCAAGCGGCACCACGAACTGCGGCACTCTGGCATCGAGGAGGCTATTCAAACCGCGGAGGAGCTGCGTCAGGAGTTGCTTATGGAGGAACGGATGCTGGAAGAGCAGAAGTTGAAAGATCAGATGTTAGAGGAGCAGAAGCTAAAGGATGCCAAGCTAAAGGAGCAGAAACTGAAGAATTGCAAGCTAAAGAAGCAGAAACTGGAAGAACAGCTGGAGCGCGAGGATATCCAGCCACGAGCAAAGGCTAAGGTCCCGCCAACACAGACTAAAGGGGGAAACGAGAGCCTGCTCAACAGCTTGATGGAGGATCTCGTCGACGAGGAGCAGGCGGATGACTATGTCTACGAACCACTGCAGGATGAGCAGAGGCCTATTATTACCATATCCACCTGCAAACCGCAGATCTTCCAGGCAGACATAAGCAATAAACAAGTTATTGTGAGTCCAAATTTAAGGCTTTTTTAAGTACGAAAACTATCATCATTAATCCGTTACATTTTTGACATGGGCTAGCTTTAACTAGGCTGAAAATTGAATATTATTACGATTACTAATATATATACTAATACGAACTTACTTTGTCTTTTCTCCTCAGGCGGTCAACGTGAACGGACAGCTTCGGTGGTTCCAATCCATAGATCCGCCGCCAGGAGCTCCCACAAAACTGGAACTGGCCGTTGATAAGCAAGTTCAGCAGACAGTTATCGCCCAGCAGCAAATGGACGAGTTAGATGATGAGTTGGCCCTATCGCTAGCCGAACAGGATCAGCAGGAGGAGTTTCTTGTAGAAATGCTCATCGAGGAGAAACAATCCCAGACGGAGAAGCCAGCTAAGAAGGATATGACTTGGAGTTGGAGTACGCCGCATGTAAGGCAAAACTCTTAACGAAATACCTTAATCTTTAACAAAACTTTCTCAATTAAAGGCCATTCATCATGTTTCTACCGCAAAATTTGACGACCAGGAGCTTATTGAGGAGCCTAAAATTGACGATGCTGATGTGGATTTCCCCGATTGGTGGGACGATGGAAAGTACACGAAGATGCACAAAAACAAAATCTTTAGGAATCATCCGCGAAAACCTTCACAGGCAAATGTGCAGCGCATCCTGCGCATTATTTATGATGTTTATTATAAGCCTTTTAAGGAGGACCGCAAGCAGTTCGAGGCCTTCCAAATTAAGGATTCGTGGCTGTGCGCTACTCACATGACTCGGATGCAGATAATTAAGGACATGTACTCCAAGAAGGGCACTTAAAGACCAACCAGATATAGGCTATTCAAAAAAATGGATTCTTTCGTTAAGTTCAAAAATTTAGTTGTCTCTTATAATTTTGTAAAGTGTTCAAATTAAATGGATCATTTTATATCGAAATCTAAAAATAAGTATATGTAGAAATACGTAAAACAAGTTTTTTCTAATATAATATACAAATTAGCATATGTAGAAATACTTAAAGCATTATTATTACATTTTATTTAGAAGGGTAATAAATAGATTTAGCAAGAATTAAAACAATGTTGTTGGAAACACTAAAGAAATTTGTGTATCAATTTCGGGAAAAAGTTGTATAGGAATCACATTAGTTATTTTTTATATTAAAGCTACCAATGAAAAAAAACTTTTTACATACATTTAGAGAGTTTTTCTTGTACCTTTTCATATCAATTAAATTGATTGGGACTACCAATTAATTTTAAAGGATTTATTAGCAAAAAAATTGGTTTATTTAAATAAAAAAGAATTGGCCATAGTTAGAAATGTTTTTTTTTTCCATATTTCTGGTAGAATATGAGTTCCGTGCCAAACTGCTCAACATCATTGAATCAATCTAATTTCGGATTCCTTGTTCTGAAATGAAATTCATTAAATAAATCGTATGTAGTTTTTGAATTCACCGCGCTTAGCAAACAAAAGCAGAACAACAAAATATTCGCATCAAAAATTGAGCAAGACAAACAAAGTAGAAAGACTTTCCAACATAAATTATGTCTATATGCTAGTGAGTTAAGCGAATGTTAAACATATCTTTCGTATGAAAAAAGAAAAGAATTTTTTTTTTAATTAACAGTATATTATAATGGTATTATTGAAGCCGTCTCTGAATAGAATAGTATTTATTATGGACCGGCTGGTATATTTTGTCGTTATAAGCGCGGCCACACTGTCTCTGATCCAAAGTAAATTTTAGCAGCGTTTGCAGATTTTTTTGCATTTTAATTACTTCCTGGCTGCAAATAAAGGCATGTGCGCTATCTACAAGTTTTCTAAGTCACAGTGAGCCGGATAAGTTATTAAGTGAAAACGCGAGCTTTGAATTTATGTAGACGTAGCCACAAAAGCAAATCGTGCTGCCGGAAAAGACGCCGCTGGTGAGTTGAGATACTGGTGTCTAATAGTTGGGTTAATAGATCTGGATCAGCAAGGGCTTAACCCTTTGTTTATTTAATGACTTGCTGACAGTCGTCCCGTTCCCCTTTTTTCATTTTTTTCTTTTGTTTGACTTTTTGGCGCAATATTATTCACCACACCGGTGGGCCCAAATCCACCACAGCACGAGCTGCCCCAAATGGAGACTAACGCGGTTTTTTTCTTCTATAGCGTATGGTCACATTTAAATTGGCTTTAAAAAAATTACACGAAATATTTAAGTTTTCCGGGAGTTTTACTGTTAATTTGTTTGTGTATTAAGGTTAGAGAGTTTTAAGGTAAGTTTGAGGTTAGGGCTGAGTTAGCACAAAACAGACTAAAAATTAAATTTCGCTTCAAGAACAAGCACGATCATGGCCTGGGTTCCTAATTCGCGTTTCGAGGACGACCTGGTGAGCATGGATCCGGATTTTGATCACATCCACGGCCAGCTGGCCTACGAGGCGAAGAAGAAGCAAGAGTTTTGCCCGCGTCCCAAGAGCACCTACGAATACCTGTCGGCCCGGGAAAAGCGAAATTCCGAGCTGGAAAAACTGATCGGTAATTCAGACGGCAAGGGCCGAGAAATTCGTAACTGCCTGCAAATGATGGAGAAAATACAAAAAATTGCGGGTACAAAGCCGCTGGGCGAACACGCCACCATGGCCGACTGGGACGACACCAGCACTGCTGAACTGGAGGCCGTGGCCATGATGCGGCACTTTGGCATGATGTCCATGGCGGAGGACTCAATGCCTGTCCTGCCCGAAATCAGTCCTACGCAAGAACCCATACATGTCATACGGAACGGCCGCCAACGCTTTCCCCTTATCACAGACCCCGAATTCTTCAAGCCACGAAAAACGCCTCGGCCGAAGAATCCCAGTCCCGACGACTCCATCAATGACTCCTTTCACACAGCCGAAAGTACCGGCAGCTTTATTAGTCTGTACGGCTCGGCCAACTCCCACTTGAGCAGTAGCTCGGGAAGTGCAAAGCTCAAGGAGTCAAATCGGGAGAAGAAGTACCTGGAAATACCATATCAAACGCTGGAGGAGAGTTTCGATCAGGCCGAGGAAGCCTTGGCCAAGAAGGCGATCCCAACAAGCTTCAAAAAAAGCAAAGAGAAAAGAAGGAACGAGAGACTTCGACATCAAAACGGATCTATAAACCAAAGAGCATTAAAAAACAGTTCCTTTTAGTTGCCTGAATTAAATAACTCAAGAATCGAAAGGGTTTTTTTAAACTCTAGGATCTGAGATTTTACATTGGGCGGTCTTTATGAACTTTAATCAGCTAGAATCGGAAACGAATTTAAATAAACAGCTGAAAAGTAGTTCCTACCAGATAACAAAACTATATATGTACAACATAATATATTTTTTTCTACAGATACCAAGAAACTTTCCGCTGTACTTATATATTAGGATAATTTATGTATTTATTTGAACACATGAAACTTCAAGAAATATTGTATTGAAACAACAACAACAATATGTTTGAAGCCATTTCGGTTGCGAGGAAACTCAGCTAAAAGGGTTCTTCATACTTTCCTTATACAATCCTAATAAATAACCTAGTATTCAAAAGAGATTGCTTTCTCTAAATAGTATACAAAAATCCGACCACTGGTTTATTAAAAAATATATTTGAAGCTACATCCAGAAAGACTGACTTAGAAGCGCATCGCTCTCTTCTTGAAGTTGACTGATATCCAAATCATTGTTGCTCTGCACCAGGTCTTCCAGCTGTTTGACATTTCGTGCACTCCGTTGCCTCTCCTCCAAGAGCTCCCTGATAAGTTGCCTCTTTGTTTTATACTCCATTGTAGACACAAAGAATGTTTAAAATAATGTAAAAATTTTTCCTACAAGTGTTTTGAAAGCTGTTGCCCGATAGAATGATTTAAAATGTGCTCAGGCGCTTTGCTTTGCATACTATGGATGCTGTCAAAAATGTCAGTTACTGGCACCTAAAACTTTTTGTGTGTTTCTAAAGAAAACTTTTCGCCCAAAACTGAGAGACATTTTTATCAAAATCGGTATGGATAGGAAGGCGATGTCAAAGATGCTGAAGAAGGATCTTATCAGGGAGCTCCAGAAGGAAAAAACACGGACTAGACTAATGGAAAATCTTATCCACGCCAGAGTCCATCGAGACGACCTGCGTAAGCAAGTGCATGAGGAGATGAGCAAAACCGAGGAGCTGCGTCAAAAGTTGGCTATACAGGATACGACCATAAGGACCAGCGTCGACACAGAAAAACGCAAGCTAACGGAAATACTGGATAAGATATCAGAATTAAACAAGTGCTCTATTTGCCGTTGCAACTATGGGAATGAAGGCGTTCATCGCAGAGCTTCTTTGAAATGCGGTCACCTTTTCGGAGAGACGTGCATCTACAATCACTTGAGGACCAGCCAAAACTGCCCCATTTGCAGTCTTCCAGCTACATACATACATATCCGTGTTATTATAGCTGACAAATACCTGTGCACAGCCGATTATCTTTCTTCATAAATTAAATTATAAAATAAAAATAGTTTCCATAAAGGAGAAAGAACTTTCCAAGAATTTTGTAAAAATTACTGTCATTAAAAATTGGTCAAACATTATGATTTAAATAACTTATTTCAGGGGATCTTTAGATCTGTTAAACCCCCATGACATGTACCTAATTTCCATTCAATTTTCCAAATTCAATTAGTAGACGAACTGAATGTTTCGCAAACGTATTGAAAATGACATGAGCAAAATAATTCCTTAGCCAATAAACCCCCGTCCACTCAATGTTATTGTTCTTGTGGTGGGACCTATTAATAATTCGGCAAAAACCGACGCGCCCATTAATTAAGTTTAATAATCTCTTTCAAAGACTATGGAATAATATTGAAAATTTTTTCGCAGCACGTAATAAATTGAAGGGGAGTTGGGGAAATAGCGATATAGTAAGTAAGGAGGGGGTACAACCAGTCTCACTTAAAGAATTCAAACTTTGGAAATATAAAATCCCTAAATGGCAAAGATCTTGGGGAACCGGCTCGGCTCGTACTAATTTTCAATATTGTTTTATTTTTTGGATAACACGACTTTAATTGGGACTAAAAAAATTTTTTTATAGTTTCAAAGAATTTTAGGTACATTATGTCAACTCTTAAATTTTTCCGTATTATAAATAGATTGGGTTTATTTTACTCTTCTGATAAAAATTATAAAATTCCTTAAAAAATGGATCTATTACATATTAAGGATCAAACCATTAGGTTTTAATTACTTTGTTTAACAAAAAATTCCATTTGCCGATTTATTTATTTTAATTGGGCGTATATTAAGTTATAATAGTTTTTGATATTTTTTCAATAAACTCTTGTATATATGATATTTTTATTGATAATATAGTGGGCAAAAATCGGTAAAAACAGGAACATATTATAATAAAAATGTTTGATGATAATATTGAAATTTACTTCGCCGCGATAATCCAGTTGGTGTGGGGAAGTCAGTCTTGCTTACAGGGTTGTTCCTAAAACATAACGTATATCCATTATATAAGCAGTTTGCCTGCAGCTTGGACAGAAATAGTTATCCTCTAAAAACGTAAAAATGCAATTCTCTCCGAAAAGGTGGCCACATTTAAGCGAAACCAGCCTATGGTTGCCGGCCGCCTCCCAATTATTGAAACATATGCAGCAGAGGTTTTCCTCGGAAATATCATCCAGCTTTTTGTTCAAATCTATCATCTGACAGTCTATTATTGTTTGCATGGATAAGTCCTGCTCCTCAACCCTTTGGCGAAAATCTTCGTTTTTTTTTAACTCCAGTTGCAATTGACTTAGAAGCGCATCGCTCTCTTCTTGAAGTTGACTGATATCCAAATCATTGTTGCTCTGCACCAGGTCTGCCAGCTGTTTGACATTTTGTGCACTCCGTTGCCTCTCCTTCAAGAGCTCCCTGATAAGTTGCCTCTTTGTTTTATACTCCATTGCAGACACAAAGTAATGTTTAAAAAAATAATGTAAAAATTTTTCCTACAATGTTTTGAAAGCTGTTGCCCGATAGAATGATTTAAAATGTGCTCAGGCGCTTTGCTTAGCATACTAAGCAAATGAATGCTGTCAAAAATGTCAGTTACTGGCATCTCCTAAAACTTTTTGTGTGTTTCTAAAGAAAACTTGTCGCCCAAAACTGAGAGACATTTTTATCAAAATCGGTATGGATAGGAAGGCGATGTCAAAGATGCTGAAGAAGGATCTTATCAGGGAGCTCCAGAGGGAAAAAACACGGACTAGACTAATGGAAAATCTTATCCACGCCAGAGTCCATCGAGACGGCCTGCATAAGCTAGTGCATGAGGAGATGAGCAAAACCGAGGAGCTGCGTCAGAAGTTGGCTATACAGGATTCGACCATAAGGACCAGCGTCGACACAGTAAAACGCAAGCTAATGGAAATACTGGATAAGATATCAGAATTAAACAAGTGCTCCATTTGCCGTTGCAACTATGGGAATGAAGGCGTTCATCGCAGAGCTTCTTTGAAATGCGGTCACCTTTTCGGAGAGACGTGCATCTACAATCACTTGAGGACCAGCCAAAACTGCCCCATTTGCAGTCTTCCAGCTACATTCATAGATATACGTGTTATTATAGCTGACAAATACCTGTGCACAGCCGATTATCTTTCTTCATAAATTAAATTATAAAATAAAAATTTTTTCCAAAAAGGAGAAAGAGCGTTCCAAGCATTTGTAAAAAGTTACTGTCATTAAAAATTGTTTAAACATATGATTTAAATAACTTATTTCAGGGGATCTTTAGATCTGTTAAAACCCCGTGACATGTACTTAATTTCCATTAAATTTTCCTAATTCAATTAGTAGACAAACTGAATGTTTCGCAAACGTATTGAAAATGAAGTGAGCAAAATAATTCCTTAGGCAATAAACCCCCGTCCACTCAATGTTATTGTTCTTGTGGTGGGAACTATTAATAATTCAGCAAAAACCGACGCACCAATCAATTAAGCCTAATAATCTCTTCTAAAGACTATGGAATAACATTGAACATTTTTTCGCAGCACGTAATAAATTGAAGGGCAGTTGGGGAAAGAGCAATATAGTAAGTAAGGAGGGGGTACTAACAATCTCACTTAAAGAATTCAAACTTTGGAAATATAAAATCCCTATATGACAAGAGCTCGGGGAACCGGCTCGGCTCCTACTACAATAATTTTCAATATTGTTTTAATTTTTTGGAGAACACGACTATAATTGGGACTAAAATTTTTTTTATAGTTTTAAAGAACATAATGTACCTAAACATTATGTCAACTCTAAAATTTGTAGTTTGTGAGGATCAAAACATTAGGTTGTATTTTTTTTGTTTAACAAAAAATTTCATTTGGCGAAGTTTGACTGTATTTGGGCGGTGGGAGTGTTTTATCTGTCTCCTTTGTTTCTCCAATTTTTGCTCGCAGCTTCTCTTCTCGCCTGAGAGTGTGAACGCACACATACAACCGAAAGTTTGGCGTCTTTTGTTTCCTTTTACTTATTTTACTTCTTTCACGATTTTCTTTATTTTATTCCCTTTCTTTATTTTGCGGGGTTGTCAAGCAGAAGTTTTTGTTGTTATTAGTGATGAAATGGATGCTGTAGTTGTTGTGTTTTATGCATAGGTCGGCTGCTATTATTGTTGTTACGCAGTTGTACATAAATACATACACACAGGGACATACATACATACATAAATAAATATTAATGTAGTCAGCTTCAAGGAGACAGCCAAAAAGGGGAAGGGAAAGGGGAGGGATGGAATTGGGGAGAGGGGCAGACAGGCTACATAAACATATACATACATATGTCGTCTATATGTAAACGAGTCTGAAGTCGCGGTCTTATTCGATGAGCGAAAGGCAAAATCAAAAATAAAGAAGCAGTTCGACAAATGGCGCAAGCTATTAAAATAAATATGTACAAGCTTTTCTTTTCAGGGTGGACCCAAATTGTTCCCCTATTCATAAAAAAATATGATGTACAAATTCCAAACCTTAAAATTCACAGAACTCGTAGTATGTAGGTATGTATATTTGCAATAGGAAGTATTATTATACATAGGTAATATCAGTATCATCACAGAAAAATCAATATATGTACATACAAACTTAAAATCAGTTTGATGTCATTTGATGTTTCATGTTATAAATACCATCAAAACGTTAGTTTTCGCTGCGTTTCGCAGAGTATTTAAAATTGAGGTTCACTCGAATTCCTACGCACACGAGTTTCTGACGCTTCGTCATCTGAAGAAAGGTGAGCAGTGCACAATGAAGTATCGTTTACCACTATAATTTGCTCCTATACACCCATTTTTGCTCGGAAAAGGCTTTCAGTTTAAACAACAAAAATTTTGTTTAAAACTGTATACCTTAAACTTAACACAATTTTGTTTATTTTTATTTTTGATTGTATAAACAATTTTTACAAATGCACTGAGCAGTAGTAAAAGAGAGAAAGATAGACAAAAGAAGCAACAGCCCTAGCCCACGCCGGTTGCCGGCTTTCAACCTCTGCTGCGGCTGGCAGAATTGTCATCGCACAGTGGGGTAATCCCAAAGAAAAACCACAACATCTTACATATGTACATATAATGTAGACTTTTAAAAGGCGTATAACATTGATAAATGAAAAGATATCATTTGAAAAGATTAGATTAAATATCATAAATAAAGCATTATAATTAAAAAAATTTATTTTTATAGTGTTTTCTATTTATAATAAACTAAAATATTTGTAAAAGGAGATTAAATTTAGGTATTTTTGAGCAAATTACCTATGCCTCACTGTGCATTGCTGAACTTGAGCGAGAGAGAGCAAGTTGAACTTGCCCGATGCTGCAAATAAGAGGAAAAGCGAGAGGAGCTTAGTCCCACCACCACTGGCATGCCATTCCCAGTCATACCATCCCCATTCCTCCTTTTGTTTTGGCGCGCGCAAGCGTAAGCTCTTTCTCCCTCTCCAGGTCCGGTCTTTCCTGCGCTCTCTTGAAGTTTCGAGACTCTGTCGAGGCTTTCTGTTGAAAGCAACGGCAGTTTGATTTCAACTCTCAGACAGGACGAAGCGCCTGGGACAGGATAAAGCAAGAGAACTAAATAAAAAACAACACTGCTTAGATATAGTAAACTAATAGTAGTACAACTACTACTACAGTAGTAGACGCTTTTCAATCGACTCCAAAATCACGACAATGGCGAGCGGGGCAAAGAGAGCATTTGAAGGAGGAGTGCAAGGACCACGAGGCTGTTTCATTAAAATTGGGATACAGACAAAACGCGGCTCACAGGATACCGGATACGTCTGTATGCGTGTTTGTGCCGCATCCATTCACGACAAAGAAAAGAGACGGCAGATATTTTTCAGTGGTGACTTTCTCGACAAAATCCTAAAAAAAGGACAAAACGGTTCGGTTCCTTTTCGGTTTCTCGGTTTTCGGTTTCGGGGTAGTTCCTAAATCTCTCTAAGGAAGAACAAGATGATGAACCTTAAGAATAAGAAGCCGTCAAAAAACAGCTTCGCAAATATGGCGCGCTCTTTCGCTCTTAATCGACAAATATAAGGAGAACCACAGAAACGTAAGAAACTAAACTTATTTGTTTACTTCCTAAAGTAAAAGAAAAATTAGAAACAAAACAAAGATTAATAATGTTTTGTTGATGTGCCCAAAATGTAAAAAAAATAAAATATGCCCGAGCTCTAAGTTTACTTTCATACACGAGTTTAAAAGCAATAACTTATCTAAAAGGTTGAAATTAAATCATAATGTCATTGAACTCTTTAAACCCAAAAATTCAATCATTATAATTTTAAAAATTACGTAAATAATAGTCTGCTATTAATTATATCTTCCATACAAAAGTTTATACAAAAAAAAATATATACAATGACTAAATGCCCAAAATTTTAGTTAAGCAGCACAATTTTAAATAAAGTTATCTTGAATGAACTTTTGATTAACTGTCTAAACTAGCAACTAGGGTTCTAATTCTGTCTTATATTTTTTCTATACATAACTATTCATTAAATCAAACTTTAGCTCAGATATAAAAAGAAGTACATCAAACTAGTACAAATAAGTACTACTTTAACTTGGTCTGAAGTAGTAAAACCATAACAAATTGCACATGCGGCATTTAATTATTAGTTTTTCAACCACTCTTTGACTGTGCGTCTTTTCCCTCAATTTTTTTTTGCAACGCCCGCGAAATAATGTGGAAAAACTCGAGGTTACCAGCGGAGCAAGGAGAAAAGCAACAAACAAAAAACATATAAAAATAAGAAACGCAAGAAAAAACTTGCAGCGCTGGTCTGGCCACTTGTCCGTCTGTCTGCCAGCCTGTTAAGCCCGTCTTTTTCTCTCACTGTACCGATGTATGAGTGTGTATCTGTGTGGCTTTTTTATGGCCATGCAATATCTTTTTTCATTTCTGGCTTTCCTGCTCGCAGCCTCCTTCTTCTTCTCCTGCAGCTTGTGCTTCATGTACAGGGCGCATAAAATAAGATGGGAAAAAAAGCGAATGTTCAAATTGAAATACTTTACAAAACTCGTATTTGCTTAGCCTTATCGGCCGCGCACAGATACGAACGCACACACAGACACCTCAGCGGCTCTCTGTCCTGGTAACGAAGTTATATATTTACCCCGCTGTTGCCAAGAGCCTTCGAGTCTTCAGGTCTTCAAGTCTTCCAGTCTGGTCCCCAGTCTCTGAGGTCCGTGGTCTTTCGAGCGGCTGTAACCGGTAGATAAAATGCAAAACATAAAAAAAGTCGGCCTCCTGTGGCATCTGCATAATCCCCAAGCGATCAATAAAGCAGGGCATCCTCTGTTGCAATTAGTGAGCTATATCATTCATCGCGAACGAGACAGATCATAATGCTTCATAATGATGATTAGAGTGTGCCCGTCTAGTAAGACTGACAAGCCATTTATTTTAAATTAAAATTGATAATTAAGTTAGAAAATTAAAAATGTAGGATGTTTAGCTTCAGAAACATTGTAAGAAGTTACTCTCTTGAACATCAAAAATTTAAATTGAAAATACCAAAAATGGATTTTTATTAGATTAAATTTTAGATATTATAGTTAAAGGTTTTAAATGTTATGTGATATTTAGTTAATTTACGAATTTATTATATGATGAAAAAGGCTAACCACTGACCGATTTCTAATTAAGACTTGGATTGCCAACTTAAATACATTTATATAACACAAAGACGACGGACTCATGCCGCTCAACTAGCTGTCGAATCATAAAAAAACATTCATAAATAGTTAACTGCAATACATTTCCGCCAATCCACAGACTTTACTCTTCTAAACCTCTGGTATTTCTGAGAGCAAGAAACCAAATCCCCTGTTAGAAATCGCTGCTAATGGCTTGGGCTAACCATTAACCAACGTCATTACAGGGTTTTCTGGCATCAGCCAATAAAGCCAGCTGGCTGACCATGGTCTGGACTTGGGCCGTTGATTTTGTGTCTTACTCTTTTGCCGGGCTTGAGTTCCATACCCCATGATGCAGACTGGATGTGACTTACCCACAATGTCATTAATTTTTCTCGTTGCTGGTTTTCAGACTGCTCCTTTGCCCACTCAGTCGGCGACTAGTTTTAGTTCGTCCCCTCCCTCACTTTCAGGAAAGTCACTTGTCCAGAAATGCAGTGAGGGAAAACGTTCTTTTTTTTAATTTTAGAATAAATGAGTTTTCTAAGTTTAATTTTCTAAATTGAACACTCATTCCTTCTTACTTAAAACCTACCATAGAATTCTAGAGTGGTACAATTAAAGTTTTTTTTCAGATTATAAAATAATTAGATATGCAAACACTGATTTTAAAGTTTCGATTGCAATCAATATTTTTTAAAACACCTAATTTATACTAGATTTATAATAGGATTGAAGCTTAATCTATATATGAATTTGTGAGAAAAGTTGTTTGAAATAAAAGTACGAAAATAGCCGAAAGAGTTTAGAATGTTGTTTTCCGCATGTTTTATGTCCATGATTCATCATATTGACATAATAAAGAAAAGTGTTTTTATGAATGCATAACATCGTTTAAATCACAGTGTAGTCTTGAAACTAGCTTTTTACACAATTTTCCTCTTTTTAGTTTGCTTTTTTAACTCGCTTTCTAGCCTTTGCCACCAAGCTATGAAATGGTGTAGTGTAACTAAATGTGAGATGGTGTTCGTGTGGCAAAATAGACACGCTCCAATCTCCACCCTTTGTCCTTTTTCACCCACTCATCACTTTTTAACCCCTTCGCCATTCAGTCTGCAGTGTGTGCGTTTCGTTTGACTCCCTAATTTTATTTGATTTTGACTCTGAAATTTGTTTGTTTAGGATACGGTGTTTAGGATCCTTTCCAGCCGTCTGTGGCTGTCACCCCTTTCGGTTTTTCCTGCTCCTATGAACTTAATTTTTCCAAAATGGTCTAGTCATAGAAGTTTTCCTAGATTTCATTACATAAAGCTAATCAAAACTGTTCTTAGGACAGGAGGTTTATCTGATCGGACTGCTCTGGTTAAAAAAGGGAAACATTAGTGGAGGTTTCGTTTAGTCATTTATATATCTGATAAAAAGGGTCTTTTTAAAACTCGATGAAAGGCAAGACAAATGTTTGGTTCTTTGTTGAACAAGTTCATATCATTTATAAAGCATTTTCTAGCAGGTGAAATTTTTTAAATTTATTGTTTGGTTCAACCTTTGCGGATGTTTTTTTTACCCTAAGATGGGTATGTCTTAAAAATCCTTTACTGTATTTAATAATTTCAGAAACATTTTAGACATTTATCCTTGTTTTTTAGAAATTCCTTAATCTTTAAACTAATTTTTGACATTTCGTGTAGCGTTAATACTTACCAAAGAAAAAATGTTATGGTAGGCGTTTCAAAATAATAACAAAAAAAACATCTTCCTTTGTTTCTTAAGTTATTTCCTAGATATTTTTAGCAAACTACCTTTAACTTAGGGAAGCTATTAAAACTAATTTGGGCTCGTTTTCTCAGTCCTCTTCCCTATATACTTTGATATCTCTAACTTTACTTTTTTCTGATGCTGCTGTGAAAAGTTTTGTGAAAACTTGTCAAAGTTTTTAGTGGAGTTTCATTACTCATCCGGTATCATCTGTCCTCCATTTCCCTACATTTCCTCTCTTCTTCCCTTTAGTCTGCCCATCACTTTTGAGGCTTTATCCTTGGGCTGTCAACATGTGCTTTGACACGCCCCTTTTCAACCCCCTCCACCTATTTTTTACCGCTTTTAGTTTAAGCACTGTAACACATGTTATCCCTTATATCCCCAGTCCTCACCCACCTACCTTTATCTTTTATTCTGTCACAAGGCGAAAAGGGTTCCGTTGTGTGAATAATTTGTGTGAATTTCATATTTTCCCAAGCGAATTGACTAAAATTTAAAGGGCAGGTGAAAGTGTAGTTTTAAAGCTGAGAAAAAAAATATATTGAAATGATTATCCCACAACATAATTAAAAAAATATGAAACTTTAAAATTATAAATTTAATGATATTTTCAACTTAATGTTATATATTTACAAATTCTCTACAAACAAAAAACAAAAAAAATTGAGTGGTTTTATTTTCGTTTTTATGCATTATTTCCCGTGTAAAAAAGGATCCCGTTGGGTTTCCGTAAACAACAAATGCTAACCGTAGTTATCCCATCCCCTATCTTATCTTAATCCCGCTATTCAATTTGCATGACAATCGAAGCTCATTGCGAATGCAAAATCGACTTTTCTTAAATTTTTTCAATTATTTAAACACTTTTAAGGGGGAAAAAGTACAACTAGGAGATGTTCGAACGGTGGACACCTAAAAATAGCCTATGATAAAAGGAAACCCTCAGAAACACATAAATACGAATACAAAGGAAAAAATTCCACTCTGTTGAATGTACAAATACAGACGCGTAAAAATGTTTATAGTGGCCTGTTGAACAAGAAAAAGCAACAGCATCCTCTTTACGATTTCTCTCTATCTCTGTTTCACTCTTTAAAGCGCAAGCTCAGAGAGTAACAGCGGCGGTCATTAAATTAGGGCTAGTCAAGCGTAACGTCTACGTCATATTGTAGCAAGAGGTGGAGCTTGTGAGGGGTTCTGGAGAGCTTTTCTTAGAGGGAGAGAAAGAGTATAAATACGCAAAATTCAGGGGAAAAGGAGAAAGATTATTGAGACGTGGAAGGATGCTGCTCTATACTCTCTTTTATCTTCCCTTCCACAGATTCCCCACTCAAATCACATATCCACCCACACACTGTGATTGCAAGCATGGGGTACATACATACATACATGCCTACGCAAAATCTAGCAACTAAAAAAAGTGGGTAGAGAAAGGGAGAAATTCATGCATGGGACTATTTCGATTTTTTTATAAATTTTTGTTTTTCTTTTACATTTGAACCTAGCCTTAGTTCGTCAATTAATAAACTCCCATATTTATCTATTAAATTTCAATGTATAAAAAGGTAAAAGAAAATAGTAATTTCAGGTATAATTAACAAACAAAACAAATGCTATTAGCTTAGGCAGATTGTTAACTTGTTTGTTAAACAAACTTAATTAGATACATACATATGTATATTGTCTTATACAATATTTGTGACAATTTTGGTATTATTAGCCTTTGTTTAACCACTGTGCTTCCTTTTCTACTCTAAAACAAGTACTCTTCCCGGTTCTTCGCTCCACTCATGTCCTTCGCCACTATTGCTTTATTCGTGTTTGTTTTTTTTTTTTTACCGCAAAAGGTGCAAGGCGGCTGCGCAGAATGAAAGACTCGCGAATGATGAGCCGAAAGGACGCACAACCGAAAAGGCGAACGAACGAACCATGACCATGCCAAAGGATGAAATATTAACGGCGTCACTGCGAAGAGGCCTTTAAAAGTAGTTGACGATTGCCGCTCGTCTTTTCTCTCGCTTCTCTATACCACAAAAAAACTTTAAATTCAGCATCCCCATGTGCTTTTCATTTGGCATAAGTATGTGTATTTTCGAGTAACTGTGAATGACATCGCGGAACGTTGTGGAATCAAGAAACGCAAACTAGAAAATTTGCATGCTTTTCTATTTTTGTTTGTTATTTAGTATAATAATAAATTTATTAGTATAATAAATAATCAAATTTATTTTTATTTTTCCAGATATGCACGAAGTGGCAAAATCTAAGCGACAATTTGGCGGCAGATGACAAGGACAACGCCACGCACATGGCGGCAAGACAACAACAAGGATTCAGGATACGGCTAACCGGATATTAAACTATCAACACTAGCCAACACAGCAGAACAGAAACTGAGGCATAACCATTAGCGTTGTGAGAGAGAAAAACAGGACATCATGGCGGCAACGGAAGCGGGAACAGGTCCTGCAGCCACGAGGGAGTTCGTTGAGGGATGGACTTTGGCCCAAACTCTGGGCGAAGGTGCCTACGGCGAGTGAGTGCCACAACGTTCATTTTTAATCACAGACCACAAATATATAAGTTATTTAATCATAGTTGTTAGAGAGTAATACCAATCTTAATAAAATATCTAAAATTCAAATTAATTTGGAACTGCAGGTTAACGTTTATGGTAATCTAACCAAAACTTTTTTAATAATGCAAAATAATTAAAATTAACCATTAACTTCTGAAAACGTATAAAGCATATTCTAAAAACAGAACCAAAAAATTACTATAGAAAAAATATTTCAAAGTGTTAAGAAAAACAACTTAACTTTTCCGGACGAATATCGTAAAGGATTTGTATGAATTAAAATCATTTCCAAGTTAATCTTAAAGTATGCAATAATACGCTTAACTTACACGGATTAGTTTAAAGTTTGGTTTGATTGGCATTGCACAAAGTTTATTATATAAACACTTTACAAATAACGTCTCAAGTTCAGGTAGTTGGAATATTTTTTTTAAATCTAAATTTGCAAGTCTATGAGCTTTGTTATTCGTCTATATGTGTTGAAGTCAATAAACCGGAAATGCTGCAGAGCAAAAGAGCAAAAAAAAAATGAAATAGTAACTAAAACGCACTTTTCCGGCGTATTCGCTGTACACATTCATCCCGAGAGCACCCCCTGCGTTCCCTTATTATGGAGGCTCCTCAGTGCGCATGTCCCCGGTATCCGGGTCCGGGGAATTCGAGGAACACAGGACTATTCAGACGGCATACGTCGCACTCAATGCACCGGACGGAGAGCAGTCGATACACAGACATCAGTGTTGCAACTGCATCTGCAGTCCGTCCTGTAGTCTCGGTATATCCCTTACTAATCCCCCGACAATATTCGATATCTTAATGCAGGGTGAAGTTGTTAATCAACCGGCAGACTGGCGAGGCTGTGGCCATGAAAATGGTGGACCTGAAGAAGCATCCGGATGCGGCAATCTCGGTGCGCAAAGAGGTTTGCATACAGAAGATGCTCCAGGATACGCACATCTTGCGATTTTTCGGCAAGCGCTCGCAAGGCACCGTTGAGTACATATTCCTGGAATACGCCGCCGGCGGAGAGCTGTTCGATCGAATTGGTGAGTTTGAATATTGCTGGTTTTTAGTTTTTTACATCTGGAGATTGGAGCCAATTTATTTAAATCATTATAAGATGTATTACTTAAGTATTACGTTACTGAGGTATAAAATATTTTTATATACCAACTTGCGGTTCTTGAAAATTAACTATTTATTTATATTGCAACGAATAACTCTGCAAATTTCTTTTGCTAACTTTTACCGTTACTTAAGGGTAAAAGTAAATAATAAATATAAAAATAGCATTTCCTGTTAAATAAATTTAGATACATTAACTGATAGCGGTCAACTGAAATAAGCTTTAACTTATCACAAAGAGTTTTCACCAACCTCAATTGCATTCCAACCACCACCAGCTGAGCTATTTATCAAAGAAAAAGCCTCTTTGAGCAGCTACTTAAAGTTTGTTAGCCACTCAACTAGCCATAAGCCGGAATCTGGGATAAAACTTGCACATTACGACCACGACAATCCAATAAATAAAATTATCCCTCAAAGCGTGCGTTGAAAGAATAGTTGAGATTACGACTAAAATCTGGCTAGTAAATGGGGGCTTTGAAAGGTAAAAATTAATCAAACGAAAAGAAATGAAAAGCTTAGACTTGGAGATGAATAACAATCGGATAATAAGAAGTGGTGCCGGCCAAGACAAGTGCCTTGAAAAATATTTGAATGTTCGCTTAAACGAATGCTGAAATTTTTTAAATATATTAGCCATCAAATAACCAGCAAAGACCTTCAGAGTTTTGTATAATCTAAAGAAATGTAGCATGTGCTAGTTGAGTGAATATTTTTGTAAACACATATATTTTATTCCCATTTCGATATGCTAAGATTGCCTTTGCTTACGGTTCATTATTATTCTTTTATGTGCGCTGGCATCCCACATACGAAATTCAGCCGAGTCGGAAACAAAGTATGAGGAGCCGGTGGTTAGGAGCAGATGCCACATAGTCATATAGACGTCGGCCAGACGGGGCAAATATGCCAATATGCGACGCGAGCACAGACAGACGGGCAAACAAACCGACTGACAGCGGTTGTGATGGTTTTATTGTACATTTTGTGGGTGCAACTTGAAGTTCGTAGTGCCATCCAGTGAAGCGAAATGGAACGCACACATATTTCTGCAGCAGCAGCGGGAGGGACAAATCAGAAGACTGACAAGATACGGATCTTGATTACGCCAGCATTCTGTCTCTGTTGCAATGACAATTTGCCAAATGCACAGGCGGGGAAATGGAAAAGGGGAAAACCGGGGGACAGTAGGTGCCAAGTTCGTGGCATTTTCATAAATATTAACAGCTTGGCAAAAGGTCAGCAGAAGAGCGAGCATGGAAACGGAGAGAGATTGCCCCTAATGGAAGTGGCGTCCTTGCATTGATTGCCACCTCATCGGGGTCCTCTCCCTGATTTCGCCTATTCCCAATCACCATCATCATCATTATCATCATCATCATTTTGCTCCATCCTCTCAGCAGGGGATGTTGCATGTGGAGCTGGTGTAATAATCAATGTGGCAGCCATATTTAGACCCCGGTTGCTAAGCCATATTTAATGACATCTAGAGATGTGACTAAGCCTGAGTGATGGCCGTAATTGTATTGCGAAATTAAAGGAAGTCTTTGTAATATTTTACCATAGATATATTTGATGGCTTAAATTTATTTATTTATTCACTTTACTATTGAGATTAACTTTACAAATTTCAAAATTAATATAGTGATATTTGTAAAAAAAAATTGGTAATGTTTTTTTAATCAGTATATTGTAATGAAAGCTAAAAAACTTGCTTGGGGGGGAGTTTAATATTGAAAATCGCCTTTTCATACTATCACTCACTTAATGGCATCATCATCAGATAACACACTTCCATCTCTTCTCTAGATTTTAGTGGTCGAGCGCCTGTTGGTTGGGCAACAAAACATCCTTTTTTCCGACCAGGATAGAAAATAGCTTGGGAAAGAGTAGCTCTTTGGGAGAGAGCGGAGTGCAATGAATGGCTTGCCATAAATAGGTTCAATATGCAAATGAAACATAATGGAGATGCACACACGCAACCAGATGTCCTCGACGGCGAACGTGTGTGTGAGTTTAATTGTCTGTTTGCACAGAAATGCATTCATTAAGCTTATACGTCCAATCGTGGGATGAAAAGGAGAGTCCAGAAATCGGGGGGCTTATAGATTCCCAACCGATTTGGGCATTCGCTCAAACTGGGAGGGGGTTTGATATAAATTATGCTTCAATTACAAACGAGATTTTCGAGTAATTTCCCTCATTTCCACTGTCGTGCATTATTTTCCTCTTGCTGGTTGCCAATACTTTTCTCCCACTTTGTGCAATGCAATGCAATTAATTATGCTAAAATGTTACTGACATGCAGCAATTTTTTTTGCTTCCATCTTATTTTCTCGGCTTGATTTATGCAGTGCTACATATTCGCGGTTCTTAAGCTTAAAGTCAATAATTCGTTTTATATTAAAAAGTTAATGTATTCCATACAGAAACAGGAAGAAAATAGTAGCTGGTTTTTTTCAAGAACACTATAACTTGGAAATTTTACTGCTTTCGTTCCTCATTAATTTGTTAAAGCAAAATTCAATCTGTTTAAAATACTTTGCTAGTCCCATATTGTATTTCCTGATTTTAGATCGATTTTGCACAGTGTATGATGCACTCGTTCCATTTCATTTTAACCATGGCAAAAGAGTTGTGCAAATGGCGCCAACCAACAACATGCCACATGATAAATGAATGGCAAACAATGTGTGGCACACGGAATGAGCACCGACAGATGGGGGCTGGTTTAATAGATGTGGGCGTGGCACACCTGCCCAACTTTATCTCCTCCACAATCAAATATAAAGAATTACAAATTGAGAGTGACAACACAAGAACTAAATACAAAAAAAAGGGAAAAAGAGAAGAAATGGAAGGGAGAGAACATGTGCAAAATTTGTAAGACAAACTTGCTTACTTAGAAGTTTTTACTCGTTTACTGTTAATTTTGTCCAAAAAAATCAATTAACTTTGGTGCGAATTGCAAGAGAATTCTTAAGAAAATTGTTTTTAAGGACGCTTAAGTCTTTTCCACTTTAAGGCAGATTGCAACTCTTCGTTTATTAAATTGGTTTGGCTTATTAAAAGATTTGCATTTTCACTACTGTTCTTGCTAATATACTTATATTGATTTACCAGCTTTATTCTCACCATAATCGCCTTTTTGTCTTTAGTTTTCCACCCAAAAACTATCGATTTTATTTTATCACAATGGATAATTGCATCAACTCAATGCACAATTTCAAAACATAATTTTGCCCTTTTGCTTCGACTTTTAACCTGCCCCGACCAAAATGGAAGAGTCAAGAAAGGGTGAAAGATAAAATCGATATTTGGCGGATGGAAGGGGGAAATGTGATGATGACGTTTGATCTCGGTTGCAGGATGCAGCTGCCTTTGGCAGTCAATCAGGTGAAAGGCGGTGGAAAAACAATCTGTCTATATATTGGCTACCCCTAGATGATAAGCTCCTCTCTTTTGCTGTGAGTTTGTTTTTCCTTCCGTCTGCATCTTTCGTCTGATTATTTCAATCCTCTTTAGAGTGCCACCAAAGTGGCTGGCAATATGCAAAAAATTTTAAATTTGTAAAGGCCATAACCCATTTTAAATCAACAGACAAAAATCAAAAATCAAAAAAAAAAAACAAAAATTTAATCAATTTAAACACATAAATAACAAATATTTTCATCTAACAATCATTTTAATAAAACTTTTTTCTAGAAAATTATAAACTTTAAGTCTTAATCAATAGAATTCGGACTCGCAGAGGGTTAAAAATATTGTAGTGCAATCCCAAGAAGGAAAACTAGAAACTATACTTTCTCTCGTATAGATTGACTAGAAAACCAACAGGTAAACATGACAACTAAACAAACATTTTGACATTGCTGGCGTCCGGGCTTTGATTAAAATTTTATAAAACTGTTGATTGCATTGCGGCTGTCTCATTCGGTTACTTTTGTTGTTCCATGGTAGCACCTGCGACCGGCTAAGCCCATAAATCCCTTACACACACGCACAGCAGGATGCATTCCATTTGTTTTTCCATCTGCCAAAACTGACCTGCCCTGGGTGGTTTTGCTTCGCTGCATATTATTCCCATTTTCTGTGAGTTCTGTTCTGTAGGGAAGTATCCATAAAGAAATACGAATATGTATTCAGGCACATATTCAACAAATCTGTATTGCATTGCAAAAAGTGTCAAATTGTAATTAAATTCCCGCAGAATGTTTTCCTTTTATTTATTTGCAATTTTTTTACATTTTTAAACGAAATATATTCATTTAATTGTTTATTTTTTTCAGAACCCGATGTGGGAATGCCGCAGCATGAAGCCCAGAGATATTTCACTCAGCTTCTGTCCGGACTGAATTATCTGCATCAGCGTGGGATTGCCCATCGGGATCTTAAGCCGGAAAACCTACTGCTGGACGAGCACGACAATGTGAAAATATCCGACTTTGGCATGGCCACCATGTTCAGGTATTAGGTACAACACTATATATTAATAAAATTGCAATAAGAAAAAAATATGAATCAAAGAAAAAGTTTAAACTGTGATCATAAATTTAAAGCTTCCCGTTAAAAACTGTAGACAAAAACATTATGCATTTAGAATCGTTAAAAGTTACGATTTTGTTTTCAAAACTTTTTGTTGTATCCACATTAGCATTTCAAAATTCCCCTTGATTAAATTCAAACCTTGACAAATATTTGAATTTAAACATAAACTGCGTGAAAACGTATAAAATCCATTACCGCTGGCTAACCGGCACACAAAAGTTTTCCAACGCAAAACTAACTGACCAACAAGCAGAATAGTTAATTAAAAACGCTGGCGGTAAAAACTAAACATGCCCATGGAGGTTTTAGTTTACAACTAAGCAAAAACTCATTTAAATCGTTAGCCTGCATTCTAAACTCTCTAGAGTTTGAAATATTTAACTGCAATTATTTATTTAGTTCTTTATTTATTCTCCGCACTTTACTTAAGTCATCGATTCCGCGTAGTAAGCCTTATTTGTTTACACTTCGCAATCTCTCTTTTAAACAGCGATTTTTGTTAAAAAAAATATGATGGGGATCAATTTACACAAAGAAAAAGGCAGATGGGGATGTGAATCAAATTTCCAATTTATAAATATTTACTTACTCAGATTAATTTACTTGTTTATATAAGGAGCTTAAACATCCGAAACATTATTAAATCATCACGTCTTGAGTCATAAAGTCACTTATTAAGCTAAGAAAACATTGATTTCTTTCTGTGTAATTTTGAACTGAATCACGAACTTAATTCTCCGCTCTCTATGTTTTCTTTTCTCCCCCAATTCTCGTCCGCTGCCATTTGGATGTCATTTTATCATTGCCATGGAACAGGTGCAAGGGCAAGGAGCGACTGCTGGACAAGCGCTGCGGCACCTTGCCGTACGTGGCCCCGGAGGTGCTCCAGAAGGCTTATCACGCCCAGCCGGCGGATATTTGGTCATGTGGCGTTATTCTGGTCACCATGCTGGCAGGAGGTATGTGCATTTTCCGAGCAAGCAAAACATCGCTTTATATGTATGTGCGCTCCAATTAATGCACTGTTTTTCGCTAATTTATTTTGTGTTATTTTGCGTGATTTTTGTTGAACAGAAAACAGTGAAAAACCATTAAAGGAAAATACCCCCAGAGCATTGCCATCAATACAGCCTCGCATCTAACGGAAATCAGTCACATTCATTATATGCATACATATGTATTCGCCCATTTCTTTTCGGTTCTATGCTCACGTTTTTCCTCTCGCACTATTTATCATTTTTGCTGTTTCTTTGGTATTCTAGCTGTAGATTGTTTCACGCACATTGTATATCATCTAAAGCTTTTATACCAAAGCTCCAGCTTAAATTGCTTAACAACGCACCAGCAACAAAAAAAAAAAAACAAAAAACAACAGCCACAAAAACTGGAATGACTTTAAGTTTCACTCGCTTGCCAAGTCAATTTATTCATGTGTTTTACTATCCTATATTTATTTCTGAATTCATTTAATTAATGTCACATTGGTATTTTTCAGAACTGCCCTGGGATCAGCCGTCCGCCAATTGCGTAGAGTTTATTAACTGGAAGGATAACGATCACTGGCAATTGCAGACTCCTTGGAGCAAACTCGACACTTTGGCCATTTCACTGCTCCGTAAACTTTTGGCGACTAGTCCTGGTACGCGTTTGACACTGGAGAAAACGCTGGATCACAAATGGTGCAACATGCAGTTTGCAGACAATGGTAAGAATTTAAACAAAAAGAAGTGCACTTGGATATCAGTATATTTATAAGCGTGCATTTGATTTTAAGCCCACTTGATTGCTCAGGTACTTAGTGACTCTCAATGCTTTTGACATTTTGGGAGTCGCTCTGTGCCTGTGCTGCCAGTGAAGCAATGTCTACAGGTAAAGTGATAAATATAGTTTCATCACAACCAACATGTTAAAAAGTGTTTAAAGAATGTGGCTGCTTGACCGTTGCTTTGGCGCTTTAGCTGTATGATAGATTTAAACTACTTCATAAAGCTAGATTACCAAAGCATTGGCTTTTGCAGATCAATCATCCAAAATAAGTGAGATGTATTTCTTTCAAATTTGTATTTTTATTATATTTTACCTATGAGTTCTTCTTTTGTTTGCATATTATTTGCTCTTTGGTGATTTTAGCTGTATGGTGTGTCTAAGTTCCATAGAGCTTTATTACCAAAAACCAAATGGTTTTTGCATTATGCTTAGTTTGTTATTTTGAGTTTTGTGTTTTTATTTTTGTACAGCTTTTATGATTTGTTTGACTTGTTAATATTATATAAGAAAACATTTTAATTTTCTAAAAACGCGTCGGAATGCCTTTTTAAATATTTTAAAAATAACGAATATAATATTAATATATTCCTACTAATATTCTAAAATTCTTTATTACCACAGAACGTTCCTATGACCTGGTGGACTCGGCGGCTGCCCTGGAGATCTGCTCACCGAAGGCAAAGAGACAGCGCCTGCAGTCGAGTGCCCATTTGAGCAGTGGCCTGGAAGATTCCATATCCCGCAACTATTGCTCCCAGCCCATGCCTACGATGCGCAGCGATGATGAATTTGCTGTAAGACTGCGCAGCGGGCGATTCAAAGATGATAATGGCGATCGGCAGGCTTTGGCCCAGGAGGCACGACTCAGTTACTCCTTCTCGCAACCTGCTTTGCTGGATGATCTTCTGCTTGCCACGCAAATGAATCAAACGCAGAACACCTCCCAGAATTATTTCCAGCGTTTGGTGCGGAGGATGACTCGATTCTTTGTAACCACGCGATGGGACGACACCATCAAGAGATTGGTGGGCACCATCGAAAGACTGGGTGGCTATACGTGCAAAGTCGGTGAGGATGGAGTAGTCACCGTTTCCACTGTCGATCGGAATAAGCTGCGACTGGTTTTCAAAGCGCACATCATCGAGATGGATGGCAAGATCCTCGTCGACTTCCGGCTGTCTAAGGGTTGCGGTTTGGAGTTCAAGCGGCGCTTTATCAAGATCAAGAATGCTCTGGAGGACATTGTTCTGAAGGGACCCACCACCTGGCCCATTGCGATTGCTACCAATTCGGTGCCTTAGCTTATAGTTTATTTCTAACTTAAATAACATCTCGTAAATTTTGTTACAGTTACTTTTGTCTAGCTTAAAGAGCAACTCATCCATCACCTTTGTTTAATTTTAGCTAAACTTCTCAATGTGCTAACTTATTCTTAATTCATTGCATTATTTACGATTACGTTGTGTATTGTTAAGCAAGCTCTCTCACGATTTTAATTTTGTTGAATTTTAAAGCGAAATACGAGTATTGAAATCTAGTTAGTATAAAGCGTTATTGAACAATAAATCAAATCCGATTTTGAATAAAAATATGTGTTTGTCCTTAGAATTAAATGTTCGGGAGTATCCGAAATAGGGGCTCCAAATTCTTGCGTCCCTTAGAATACGTTGACCATGTTATCGTGGTTCCACACGCAAACCCGATACATGTCCTCCATTTTTCTGAAAGCGAATAAGCCGTATTTTAGAAAACATACACGAATAATCAAATAAACATTCTCACTTGTTTTTGTTTTTTAATTTAATTTCCAAGCAAATGCAAACATATAGATTGCTTACAAGGTATTTGCTATAATCACACTGTTGAAAAGTGCAACATATGTTTACAAATGTTTTGCAATCGAAAAGCTATCGATAATTCAAAATTCCATTTATAAGTATTTTTAATTTTTTTTTATTTCCTTTTGCATTTATAAAAATAAAAAGACGTATATATTTACTTAAGCAAATATAACTTAAATATTCGATAGCTTTTCATTATTATTTTTTAGGTAATTATTTTGTATCTACTGCACACTTTATTTCGACTGCAAATAACTCCCCAAATAGATGCGCGTATAAATGAGTAGACATTAATGTAATATATTACATTTGAAAAAAGCACTCGTTTGAATATAATATCCATATGAATCATAAATTATATAATCATAAATTTTTGACAGGATGCAATTTTTATATGACAAATAATCATAGCCTTACATGATTACAAAAATACAAATTATATGAAAGATTGCATTTGAACGATCTCTAGCCAGTGTGAGTTTGAATGTGTTCCTTTAGATAGGCTTAGTCCGTGAATGACTTTTCGTCCGTGTGAGTCTGCATGTGCCGGTTGAGAGTGGTTCTTTGCTTAAAACATTTTTGGCAGGTGTTACACTGATAAGGCTTGTTCCCCTGTGTGAGCATGGATGTGCACCTTGATAGAGGTTAAATCCACAAAAGTCTTTGGACAATAATCGCATTTATAGGGCCTTTCCCCCGTGTGAGTTCGGATATGTCGCTTAAGTTCGATTGATTGTTTGTAACACTTTTGACAGTCGGGACACTTAAACGGCCTTTCACCTGTGTGAATACGGGTATGCACCTTAAGATGATCACTAGCCATAAAAGACTTCGAACAATATTCACATTTAAACGGTCTTTCCCCCGTGTGAGTCCGAATGTGTCGCGTCAGATAGAATTCTTGTACATAACTCTTTGGGCAATGGAAGCACTTAAATGGAAGATTCTTTAGTTTGTCGACCTTGGGAGAAGTTCGGTTAATATCTGGTGACTGTGTAAAAGACTTCGTCGGACGATCCCTTGTGTGAATCATTATGTGCGCCCTTTGAGACGAGAGATCCTTGAAAGCTTTTGGGCAATGATCACATTTATACGGACGTTCGCCGGTGTGCGTGCGTATGTGCACCTTAAGAGAAGTGGCATGCTTAAAAGACTTTGTGCATTGGTTACATTTAAACGGCCGTTCATCCCTGTGTATTCGCTGGTGATGACTGAGTTGTGCATTACTCATAAAATACGTTGGGCAGAGGTGACACTTGAACGGCCTTTCGCCACTATGAGTTCTGGTGTGCACCTCCAGAGAGCACTTCACCGTAAAAGCCTTGGGGCAATGCGAACATTTGAACGGTCGTTCCTTCGTGTGGGTCCGCAAATGTTGCTTCAATGCTGATGGTTTCGGAAAGGTCTTCGAACAGTATGTGCAGTTATGCGTTCGCTTTTTCATAGGAGGTGCTTCATACTTCTTAAAGGACTCCGGGTGAGATTTTAAAATGTGTCGATTAAGAATACTTCCACTTATATAAGCCGCCGGACAGTGGTCACATTTAAAGGGCCGTTCCCCTGTGTGCCACCTGGTGTGAATTTTAAGGTCCCAACTTCTCGCGAAAGATTTCGGACAATGAGAACACTGGTAAGGTTGCTCACCGTTGTGTCTACAAAGATGCACTTTTAAAGTCCATCTGCTTGTGAAGGTCTTTGGACAATGGGGACAACTATATGGGCGTTTATCATTACTAGGATCCTTATCATTATTGTCACTCTGATTATTGGCATTGGAATCAACGTTATTTTCAGTTCCTTGAGTATGGCAATCCGATTGATCAATTATCCCTGTCAAAATATCTACATCCTCTTCAATATAGCAATCGGATTCATCAGTGTCACTTACTGATATATCGTTGATTTCATTCTCTTGAATATAACGATTGGATAGGTTAGTTTGACCAACTGATACCTCGCTGACATCAGTTTGATTAGATTCGCTTACTGAAATCTTACAGATTTCATCCTCTGACAAGTCAATTTCTATTTGTTCGCTAATTGGTTGGTTGGTCTTGTCTTCTTTTGATGCACGGTCCTTGAATATATCTTCCTTGTCTTGGTAACATATTGATCTTTCACTGCCACATTCTGATATTTGGCAGAACTCTTCGACCGGTGAAGTCTCCACTTTCATCACTTGACATAGGAATTTGTGTTCAGTCTCTTTAATCTCAAATGCATTTTGCGCATCCTCCAAGCAAGCGGGGCATATAGTTTCGGGAAGTGAGTCGCCTTTCTCAACTTGGTAGCCGGACCACTGAGCGATCATATCCGAAATAGGGACTCCAAATTCTTGCGTCCCTTCGAATATGCTGACCATGTTTTCGTGGTTCCCCAGGCAAACTCGGCACATGTCCTCCATTGTTCTGAAAGCGAATAAGCCGTACTTTAGTACCCATTCACTAATAATAAAAAACACGCTACTTGTAAGTGATGTCGGTATATTTGGGCTCCCTCGGAATCCTTTAAATGGTCTTGCAAATGAATCTGAAGGAATGCGCACTTGTCCATGGAATTTTTGTTTTCCAAGATGTTTAATGGATAACAATGGCCAACTATTCTTAAGATTGTTTATTTACATCTCAGCATTTTATGCAGATTTCAAGTACTGTAAACACCCTATGCTACTAACATCTCAACATTTTATCCAAGTACTCTACATACCCTGTGCTGTAAATTGAAGAACATATGTTACTTATCGAATTGCTATCGATAAAGGAGATGATTCAAAATTTAAACCGCGACAATTTAAAGAAAGTGCGTTTGTGATATTAATAATGCAAAACTAACTGAAATTTCTTTCAAAAGGAATGGTAATAACATATTACTTTTATTTAACATTAAAATACCAGATTTAATCCATGAGTTTGGAGGCCAGTATATTCCATCAAATTAAATTAAAACACAATCGTTTAGTTTTATTGCATTGAACACTCAACAGCTTAAAGATTTTATTTATTGATCGATATCGATTTATTGCATTTTCCCAGCATTAATCTGCTGCAGTGATAATGTTATTTGTTTTTGGCTTTTACCGTAATTACCGTTATGTTGTTCATATTGCAGGGTGTCATTCTGGCTTACTAACTATTTAATAAGTAAAATTGAATTTCGAAAATCTCTGATAACAGTATTTGTTCTTTGTTGTTGTAGTTATTTCATTGTTATTTTTGTTATTACTTTCTGAGGTTGTACAGAAACTAAGAGACTTTTTTCGCTATTGTGTTTTTGCATTGCTAATTTGTTAACAACAAATAGCTGTCGTTTGGCAACTTCTTTGGGTTAAATGCACTTCTCATATTGCTGGGCTTGGATAACTACTGTGAATGAGTGTTATTATTTATGAGTTTTTCAGTATTGGATAAGCGCATTTGCATAGACACTCCGATTCGAGTTTGATGTGTAAATATATTCCTCTACATGTATACATTGTATTGTTATTGTTAGTACTGCATTTGCTCGCTTCTTTAGTTAATATATTTATCTATTTAATAGCCTGCATAAACGTTTTTCTTGATGTTAGCTTTTTTATTTGTTTGTGACACGCAAAACAGTGTTGTAATTACAAAAATATACCTCATATTGTAGTCGGCTGTTCTCGAAACTTAAGCACTAATAAACCCGAATAAACGCAATAAGTGGATTATGATTTTTATATTTATTTGCTTGTAGTTTGCAATTTGTAAGTGTCTCATTTTCTTCTCACTTATTACAATACAAAAGGTACGAAAGGCGCGAGAAATTCCGTCGATACGAAATTTACACTAAAAATTGACTTAATTGTGAAGAGCTAACTGAAAGAAAATTGTTTAGATTTCCCAAAAAGGAACTTAAATTAAAAATAGTTCTCCTTGGGGTGGATATAATTTGCTTTTCAGCTTAAACTTAATGTGGTATTTCTGATTGGAGTTGTGTCCTTCCTTACTCATTTTGTAATACTTATTCTCTACATTGCTGGAAAAAGTTAAGGTGTCATTAGGTTGGTGTTTCTGTTGGTGTCTCTTTATATATAGGAAAACTTGACAGAAAAGCTAGTTCGAGTATCTGTTATATGCATTTCTCTTAACATTTTTGGGGAAGGATCTCGTGGGGGATCTCGATCTTATAGACTAGCTCCGTTACTCGGCGCGGCAGAGCAGCGAGGCGAAGCGAAATAGACGCATCCAGCTAAACAGCTTCGACTCCAGGATATTCTCCTCCGCCGTCGAGGTGGTCATCGAGACCCGCGACGTGTTGGAGGACTTGCTGCTCCTCTTCTGCTGCATAATCCTGGGCGAGCTCATCTTCATTATCGAGTAAGTCGTCTTGGCGGCTTCTGGTTGCACACGCCACAAAAGTGGACGTGGGCTACGGGTCACAGGCGTGGAAAAAAACGAAACGCACAGGCTGCAAGGAGAACAGAGAAGGTAGAAATAGGAGGGGGATTAGTCAAGTGCTATTCAAAGTGGCAAGTCGATGGTTCAGATCCTCAAGTATCATTCTCTGTCGAGTAGCTGCCGTGACATTTGAGCGGCAGCCAGCAAATCCCCGAAATCCCCTGCGAAAAGCTGACTGGTTGCAAATCGAAGGATGATGCTGAAGGACGGCAAGATTTCCTTTGTGTGAATTCCATTCAATTTTTACCACCGAAACAAATCATCAAGCTTTGTGGGAGAATTCCTTTTATGGCTTATTTGTGAAACTTGTGCAATTTTTATTTAATTTATAAAGAAGACCTTAGCAAAATGTTAATCAATTGGGTTTTAATTGATTAAGTTAAACTTAAATTATTTGACCGCAATCAGCGAATACCTAATGATATTTTTACGGGCTTAATTAATACGACTTTCACTACTCCTACTTATAGTTATCCAAAGCAATCAATGAAACGGTACCCTACAACGAAAACTAGTTTTTTTTTTAATACCGTCTCTGCTCAGCTCTAATCGAAATGCTCCATTGGCTCCATACACACCCAGAGCACAGAGGTACAACGAAACACAACCCACCCATCCAAAACTGATGACCTTGCCCATATGCACTGAAGTATATTTTTATATACGAGTGGTATGCCCAAAAAGAGGCCCAAATCGAAACGTTGCATGCTCCAGTTTTTCCAGATCTGGCTAAAGCCAGACATCAGAGAGCGTTTCAATGACAAAACGCTAAGCTTCGTTACGGATAATAAAAGAAAAAAACACACAAATCGGCATTGTATACAAGACACACACAAGAACTGAGAATTGATGTTTGCTTTAATTGGACAAAATCCTGTTTCTGTCCATGGAAAGAGATTACATATATTTTCAAAGAGAAAGATTGTGTGTTGTACGTCATTGGTAATTATGCAATGTGCAATCTATTCCCCGTCCACATTTCCACATTTCCTCCCACCGCCTTTGGGCAGCAAATTAATTTCAATTCTCAGTCAAGTTTTACAATCCCGGCGCTTTTTTGTCTATGTCAACATCTATGGCGACAGTCCAAAAGTGCAGTCCGCTCATAAAACATTTCCATATGTATATCAGGCAGCAACAGCGGCGGAGACAATAAAAAAAGATACGACAGCAGCTTGTCGCGTCCACGCGACACATAAAAATATTGTTTTGTTTTTTCCTTTCGTATTTTGGGGATCGCTTTTCCTTTTAGCTTCTTGATAAATATTTTTCCACTTTGTATGTTTTGTAAGCAATCTTGTCACCGCTCAAAATACGCCTGCGCATTTGCTTGGCTCATTATAATGCTGAGATCATGCAGATAGCTGGGGCACCGAACATTTAGCAGTACAGTGGTTAATGTAGGTAAAATAGTACTTAATTTCTATATTAACAGAAACCTATGTTCCCTTACTTCGAAATAATAAAATGGATAGCCTAGTTCTAATTTTAAAAGGCAAATGCAAAACATATGGCAACCTGGACCAAAAAGTTTTTAGGTACATAAGCTTTTCAGACAAATATAGAAGTGTTTAGAATGATATTTAATTACTGCCCAAAAATTCTGTACATTTATTTGAAATACAAAAAAACAAAAGACATTTATATTTAAAAATGCAATCATTAATTTTGGCTCTACATTTAAGACTACAATAACCTATTCCTAAAAGAAATTCCAATTCAGTTAAATGGGTTAATACATTTTTAGCAATAGTAATTACGGCCTAGATTAATTTTGGAAAATTCCACAGTGTCAATAACAGAAAGGCAGCCAAGAGTATAACGAATTTGGATTCCGTTTATCTCAGTTCGCCTGAAATTTACAAAATTTCCTCCCGGTCCCCCTCTTTGACTTAATTTTCACCTCCGCCTCTGCATGGTTTCCATTTCTTCCTCTTAGCTTTGACATAAACATTTCGGGAATGGGAAATATTTTCTGTTTTCGTTTTAATCTTTGTGATACTACGAATGCAGCTGCTGTGTTGTCAGTTAGAGAGGGATGGGGCGATTGATTGTGCTGGTGTGGGCGTTTTAAAGCTAACGGGCCAACACGATACTCGCCCACATGAATATGGAATTCCAAACCCCCTACCCAAACACCCTCCTTCAAAGTCTTTTTCTATTTCACAACTCATGCGACACTTTTTTACCTTTCCAAAGAGTATTCAAAGTTTTTCAAAAATCTTTGCCGTTTCTATAATTTTTTGTAGAAGAACAGCCTTTTTTTTATAGCTTTATATATATATAATTACTTAAATATTTGCAATAATCTGTTCTAGTTTTTAGTTATTCTACAAATAACTTCCCTCTTTTTACTACCCAAAATTAGCATATTATTCTTGGTAATTTAGTGTTTGCTTCAGCGCATTGTGTCATGTGCCAACAAATGATTGAACTTTTCCACCCGACCATCGCTCACTGAGTATATCTCTATCTCTTTTTCCCTTCGATGACGATTTCAAAGCATTTGTTTTATTGGGACCTCCATCCACCATCCGCTGGCACCGCGGGGCGTATGCGTGATGTTTTTATTGCCGTTAAATTAACCGAATGCCCAGTCGTATTAAAGGGGGGAAAGTGGAGAAATGGGTGCGAACATGCAATACTTTAGATTTGGTATATCCACGAATATTTGTGGGTTTCGTGCCTGCCCCTCGGGTCATGTATTTCAATATCCTGGGCGCCAGGTCTTGTGAAATTTATGAGTGCCGAGTGTTTGAAATCGAATATCTTTGATGACGACGCTGTCTTTTGGGTAATTTGTGGCCTATCATTCTGTTCGCTGAAGTTTTATTACCCACACAGACGGCTTGACATATTTTAGGGCCTATAATGGCCAAATAACAGCTAATAATACGGGAAACATCTTGATAGAACTGCTCAGATTTCCCCCTTGCCTTGGTTTCATTTTTTTTTACACCTACACTTTGCTGTTAGCTAACAAATATTATGCGTTTTCCTCCTAACTGGCGTCAATTTTATGTCGTCGTTGATTTGTGTGATTTTTTACTTTTTCTATATTTCTCGCTTGTCACCCGGCTCACATTGACCCACTTGGCGCATGCTGTGCAATACTAGCAGCTAAACAACAGAACGACTGGCAACAAACGGCAACTGCATTTTGAGCCTGTGCCAAATTCAATTATCAATTTGTGCCTTTCATGCATTTTCCATTTCAACTCGTTTTTCCCTCCTGCCCTCGTCCCAAAAGTGGCAGTTGGAAAAAGTTGGTGGGAGTTGGTGACAGCTAAGTCTGAAATGCCGTTAATAAGACTAGTCAACCTAATTTCGTAAATTGGGTAAACAGAATAGTGATTGACATTTACAAGGACTGGTTACAAAAGGGAATATTTAGAAGTTTGAAGTTTCAAAAGCCGAAAATCAATAATCTCAACTTAAATATAAATTTAAGTTAAAAACTAACATTTATTTTACAAATATCTTAGATACAAAATAAACTTTTTGAAATGTATACCAGTAATTGGTTATTTATAGAATTTGATATCATATGTTTACAGTTTTTTCAACTTCCTCCATTAGTAACTCTGTTTGACCTACTTTCCGTTCTCTTATCGTTATTAGAACGCTGTTATATTAAGCATATACCTGATAATTTCAAGATACTTCCTCTGAATGAAAACGGCTTGCTAACTTTTTCCTTCTACTTTCATTGTTCCCCTATCGTTATTATTATTGCAGCCACTGTCGCTTACCGCTATCTGCTGTCATGTCGCTGACTGTCTCTGGCTTCAATTGCATTTCAAATGAATGTCTCTCGACTTGCAGTGCGTTCCCTGTGGATCCGAGAATTGAAACTGGTAAACTAGAGGCCTGACTTGGTGTTGTTATCAAGCGCGTGCCACTTCAGCGCTTCGCTGACTGACACAACCGCAGATGCCACAACAAACAGCGACCCACTGCCCCGCCCACCTAGAGCCACTGCCGCCCCTACGCCCACTTTGACATCCGTCTTTATGAGGCTTTAATATCACTTGCAAAGTGGCATATATACTACACATAAAATAATATACATTATCGATTTAAAAATTGCAAATCGGGTGAAGGATCGAAACGATGAAAACTACTTTATATTAAATACACAGTTTTGTAAGATCAACTGATTACAACGATAATATAAACTAATAACAGAACAACTGAACTTACTTCAAAAAGTTATAGACAAAAGTGTACCACTTATTACTTGTGATTTATAATTAAAACTTCAATGAAAAAGAGTTAACACGTATTTGGTAATTTTTTTCATTAAATCTTTTCTCACAGTGCAGGCAATTGCTATGGATGCTGCTATGGTAATTCCAAAACTGAGCGAAATTGAGACACCGATAGAGGGGTCTAGACTGTAGCGCTAGAGCGTCAGATCTTTGTAAATAGATAACGATATCTAATTGGGTCAGACCGTACTTTAATACGCATATAACGTTTGATTGTAAGCCGTTTGATTGATTCAATGAAGCTTAAGTTATAGACCTTGAGACCTCCCCCTTTTATTATTTAGCAGTATTACATGACAAAATCTTGGACAGATCCGTAGGCTTCTTTTCATTTGGGTGCGCCGTGATCTCACCAAACGACAAACTACAAACAACAAACAAATGACATCACATGATCGCAAGTCAAGTTGGGGACCCGTTCAACTTGAGGCGGCAATTAGAAGGCAATGCTCAAAAGATATACGTATAAATCATAAATATTAACAACGCACACAGACTCGTCGATAATAGGAGTTCAAAAGGCAAAGATACACACTAAAGAAGATGGGAAAAACCTGAATAAATATTTATAAGAATGCTAATTCCCGATTGCAGTGCCTGCAGTAACCGTAAGGTGAGAAGAAGCTGGGGAGAAGAGAGTAGCCGGCAGATGCATTGTCTTTTGGCCCAGAACCGCAGTCAAGCAGCGCGGGGTTTCGAGTCCGAGGGCTATGTTTTTTGGGAGGAGGAGGAGGAAAAACCGCAAAAAAGGCGGCAAGTGCCCTAGGTTTTCCATCCCCTTTTTTCCCTGCAACTGCGACATTGTAACAGTCTAGTTAACTTGCAACTTACAAGCGAATGTATCTATCTACAGCTTACTTTACAATGCCCCCCATTTCTGTTGGTTATTTCGCTGTCCCTCATCTCTTTTCACCTCCTGGCCTGTGTTGACTGACTTTCGAAACGTGTTGTCATGTAAATTAACCAACAAAATAGAAAAAAGAAAAACTGCCATGTTGCGGGTTAGTTGAGGAATACGAGCTACATGCAGCTATGCTGCAAGTATCTTTTAGATACACAGAACAAACACACAGGGGAAACAGGGGAAACAGCGGTAGTGGGAGACGTGGCCAGCGAGGTAGCCTCCCCAGCCTGAGAAAGACAAATATAATTGACAATGGAGAACAGCTGGAATGAGTTGCAAACATCACAGACAATGCCGTTTAAATGGAAAATTGTTAGACGTCACAGGCCAGCACAAGAAAGACCAGTTGTCAGCTGTTTAGGGAAAACTTCAGCAGGGAAAACTTAACGCTTAGCCTCACAAAATCCTTTAAAATGGCAAACAATTAAGTTGGCCCAATACCTATTTTTCTTAACTGTTGATGTTTAAATTTTATTTAAAATATAGTTGTTTACAATTTACAAAGAACATTAAAATCAATTTTTTATAAATGTTTTTCTACTCAAATTTGAAGGAGGAAAAATACTGAGTTATTTTTTTTGAGCTCGCTTCGGCATAGTTTTATATTCAGCCATACAGGGAAGAAACGCTATTGTCTAGACTCTTAAAACAATTAACAAACCAGCCACTGACCCATTGCGAAATCGCACCTTAATATTTTTGTATTCCGCTATTCGGCCATAGCAAAAACATTCCCCAGACAGATAAATACATTTTCAAACAGGCCATTACGTAGAGTGCGAAGATCCAAGGGGTGCCAATGTGCAATATCCCTGATGGCCAACGATGACCATAGCCACTTCCTGTTCTTTTGGCACGGCTATTACGTATACGCCACGTAGCCAATACAAATGCAAATATTATACCATTATTGCGCATGAAATGCCAACGTAAACAATAATAAACATCAAGACGAAGGCGAAGGAAAAGCCAATAAACAATAAGACAAATGCGGCCGGCCACCCAAAAATAACGTTGAAGCAAGAAAAGAAACTGGGTATCCGAAGTTCAAAGTTGGCCAGAAGAAATTGCGCGGTCAGCTTAGCAGTCGCAGTCGGCGCTGCTCATTAGCTAAAACCAAAGTCCCATTGTGACCAGCTCGTTAAGTTGGATGGGGGAAATCGGTGGGGGGAAAGGGGGAGTGGAACTGAAGCATGGTTTTATGGCCGAACTAACCTCTTACATAATGATGGGAAAATATTCATGCTTGAGCCTGATAAGAAATGCGGCTCACATTGAACCCCAGCGCTGAACCAAAGCACACAGTTGGGGAGAAACACAAATAGACAGAGCGAGATCATTTTATGGCTCGTTAAATGGTTTTAAATAAATTAATTAACTTAAAAATGAAGCAACGGAAAAGGTCCCAATGAAATTCAAATGAAGGAAACGAAAATTGAGTAAATAAAAAACAAATTAAACTTAGATGTTGAAAATAACACATTAAATTTCAATTGCAATCGTCTTCAAGGGCGTATATACATATTTATTTACATTTTAGTAAATACAAATGAACTGAGAAAACAAAAGATTTATACATCTTAAAACCATTATGGTATCTGGTATCTTTATGCGTTTAATGGTATATGCTTAATGTAAATATAAATAGCAATATCGATTGAGGAATCGAAAGATTTATAAATACATACTATAACATAATTATCGAATCTCAAAGGTATTACTCTTTACTAATGAATTGATGTAACTTTTGAGTTTTCGACATCAAAGTTGGTTCGGCCAAGAATTTCCAATTAAGTCAAAGACCACACACCATCATCAAAAGTTTTACCAAACCTACATTGCCCTACTTTCCGATGACTTTAAAAGTTTCAGTGCTGACCAAAGTAATTCAATTTCCAGTGAGTTTTCTAGCTTAACGTTGGTTTTTCACTCTCAAGTACTTTCAATCGTGGCCAATGCATAATTCAGAACACTTATTCGAGGGGCCACAGAATAAACAAAGATGACGCTGTGAAAATGTTGAAGACCACACACACTCACGTTGCAGGGAGGATTGATAGGGGAGAGGTAATCGGGTTTGACCCCAACTTTTTGCATACGGAATCAACCTTTTTGTGACCTTTTCGCTGCAAGCTCAAGAATCAGCCCATCGATTTTCGATTAAATCTAACTGACATGATGGGCCACGCCCACTCCCTACCATCCCGTCTGTCTGTTTATCCTGTCAAGCTTGAATTCCTTCTCTTGGCTTCTCGTTTTCACTGACCATTTTCAATTTCCATTTGACACGCTTTTGAAATTTCAGCAAGTCCTGCCCCCTTGCTTTTCCCTGGTTCTCTGCGTAAATTGTTGTACATAATTTATGCCATTCATCGTTGTCGGCTTAATTTTTTTTGGTTGGCAAAATTGTTTTGTAGCTCATTTTAAGCCCCAGACTGATGCCTTGTCATTAATTTCCAGCTAATCTCAATCAGTCAAACCCTGCGACGAAAATTCACTTGGGGTAAACCGTGCTAAACATTCCCATCCATAAGCCAACTGTAAACTTTTATCGGGATTTGAGTGACAGGGCTCATTTTGGTTTTTTGGGCATTTCCGCTCTTGGGTAATTGAATTTTACAGATAAAATTGGGAAATGAACAATTAAATGGTTAATTGGAATTGGCTTAATTAGGTTAGCAAAAGCTTTTTGGTTGGATTTATCATATCCGGACCATCGAAGTAATTAACAACAACAACCTAAGCAGGTGTTTTTTGGCTTACTATGCTTGTTTTAAATACCACAACACATTTTTCATTAATGCACTTTATTTAATATTTTCACCATTTTATAATACAAAAAGAACATCTGAGTCATTTATCAAAATTGTATTGTAACAAACCATAATATTTTCCGTTTCCATTTAATTTACAGCAATTTTATGTATGACAATTCATTTCATTCAGAATGCTTATAGTTTTCAGATGGCCCATAATTTTTTATGTCATTAATTGTATTTTTGTATTCTTCGGTAAAAAATGCACTTAGTGAGAAGTTGGTGGAGTAGTTAGGTAGTGTTTTCCTTACTTATCTGGCAAACACTTCATGTCCGCCCCCCATACTTAATTTTCTCTCCCTCTGGAAAAACTCATGCATGTTTGTAATCTTCTTTGTTGTTTTGGTTTCCCTTCATATTGATTTCCTTTTTTTGTGTTGGCTTCCCCGAGTTTCCAGTGTTATAAATGCAATACAAACGTCACAAAGTTTGATAAGTTTTTTGGGTTTCTGGGGTGGCATGCCCCATATGTTGGTTATAGTTTCGGTTGAGGGACACCAAGTGCACTTAACGATATGATAAGAAATGAACGACCAACAGAACTGGCTGACCCACATAGAGAATCGGATAACTGATATAGTGTCGATGAGTTATGTACTCGTTGTATACATATTTTGTGGGTAACAGTGAATGCTAAATTAAATGGCCAAGTGTTCAATTGATGGCATTAAAGTTGGCTCATTACACTAAATGGGTTCATGTGCTTCACACGATGAATATTAATCATTAACTTTTATGTCTCTGCCAGCAGGACAAAGCAAATTAATTAAATTATAGCAATTCCTCAACATTTATGCTGTAATTGATGTTGGGGCTCCACCATGTGAACTAGCTGCGAGCTGCGGCTCATAACAAAAGGCCACACCGCACATACAGTACAGCTCATTGGCCTATATAAAATGCCAGTGCCATGCCAAGGCATAAACAAAAGGCAGAAATGATTAATAAACTGAAGCCAAAAAGGGGGCGGTGCAGCTCAGCTGGTGTGTGGAATACAGATGAAGTGACATAATTGAAAACTGGAGGTGGGGCCGAAGAAGCCTTTGAGAACTTTTTGTGTGAACTTATTCGTCACGTACATGGGGCAAAAGTAATCAACTGCCACCAGAAAAAAGAAGCCAATTCTTTATGAAAAGCTAACATAAAAAAGTTTAAAAGGTTCAGTTTGCATGAGAGCCACTTTTAAAGTTCTCAAAGCTTATGTTTAATCAACAGGATGGAAAACTGCGGGCTAACTTTTACTTCAAAAGATCCTCCAATGTCGACTAAGTTGAATCGACAAGATTCAGATTCCATTAAAAATACTTTTCGTTGGTATTGGTATTTCAAATTTTAAGAGTCTTACAGAATTTTGTTTCTATAAAAATAAAAATAGTAAACACAAATTTCAAACAAGATTTTGCATTTAGATAATTATATTTTTGACTGGCCGTATCTTCATTCAAAATAAATATATAAAAAAATTTCAACCCCAAGCAAACCAATTTCCCATCTAAGGCGTAAATAAAGAAATAGATTTTCCTCTTAAGTTGAGGTCCTCTTCAGATGTCCTTCGCCGATAAAAAAAATCGAGACCCTTTTAGGATAATCTGGTTTTAGCAGGAAATACACAAGTCGCAAAGCTCTCGTTCATATCGGAATTTATAGGGGAAACGGCATGATGGAAATGAGAATGGGGCAGCCATAAAACCAAATGAAAAACGAGTTGAGATTTACGCTTGAGAGGAAAAACTCAAATAAAAAAAGAAAACTTTTAGGCGTGATTACGTAAAATGCGTAAAATGAACGAACGAGCGAGGGAGAGTCGTCGATGAGAAAGAGAGAATCGTAGGAACCACTTGACGCATTTCAAGGACACGTGCAGCCTTCACAAGGACGTACGCAGCATAAAAGAGTGGCGCGTTACACAACACTGTAGGTAAAAGTAAAACAAACTTACCGTTATATGCAAGTTGGCAGCTCCTTTCCTGGTGGCTGCCTATTAGTTTTTTGTTCCTTTTTTATTCAGCTAAGTAGGCCCTGGCTGAAATGCTGTAAACAGTTGTGGCAGTAATCAAAGCACAGATACTTTTCGAGGTTGACAAGCAGTTAACAAATTTTCCGTTCTCGCCCAATCTTGTTGTTTTAAGGGATTTTTTAATTCAAAAAATTGTACGATTTGTGTTTCCTTCACGGACGTAAAGCGCGTATTATTCGATCGGTACAACGGTAGAATCGGGAGCCAAGAGATACGAACGCCGCGAACTCAGCTGATTGAATGAAAACGGAAAACGGAGAACGGAAAACGCCAAGCGGAGCAGCAGCCCCATTCGCCCCAAAGTAGCGCTCTTTGGGAGAGCGAGAGAGAGAGAGAGACAGTGCTCCAAATAGTAGGAGGCAGAGCAACAAGCAGCGAAAGAGCGAGAGCAAAAGAGACTCGTCCAGCAGGTAAGCTTGTTGCATTGTTGGTGCCCCAAACACAGCAATAAAATTGTTTTAAATAATAGGAAGTTTGTCATTTTATGTTTCGTCGAATTTAAACATCGTTTAATGTTGATATCATTTTTTTTATAAATTCCAAGGGCCTTGCAATTTTTTCTGTTAATTACACTTCTTTTAACTGTGATCCTAGTCACCAGTATTAATTTGTTCAAATAAATTTAATATAATATATTGGGGAGTAAACTAATTTATATCATGAGTACTTTTTAAAAAATTAACTAATCTTATCATCTAAACTTAGATTAGACTTCACCCCTTTTTATGCAGCATTATATCGCTTTCTCTGACTGTGTCAGCAGTGCAGTCGCGGCTAAGAACAGTTATAAATTGCCCGAATCGAAGCGTTTTTAGCAATTTTTCATTCACATATTCACAGAGCAGCTCTCTCTTTCTCAGTGGGGCTGCTCTATCCATTTTCTCTCTTGCCCCATGGTCTCTCTCAGCATAAAATGCAAAAGTGTTGTTGTTTTTGTGGCTTATGTAACTTTCGGGCATCCGCAGGCACAGAAAGCGTTGAAGGGCAGTCAGCGACCTCGTTCTAGAAAAGAATCCATCTCTCCAGCCCCCCACCACCCCCTAAAAAGAAAGCCCCCAAAAGAAGCAGCAACAGCAGTGAAAAGCGCGTAGTATAAACATGCTGTAACATATACAGTATTTCTTCCATAACCCAACCCATTCTTATTTCGTACAATCGTCCCCAACTAAATGCATTTAAAAACTTTAATATTTATATTAATCTAAGAATCCCGGATTTTTAAGTGTTTGAAAAAAACGTACCCATTTTCACTTGTAACTGTTTAAAAAATATTTACCATTTACTTTTTGACTCAAAATATTAAATTAAATAGTTTTAAAATTAAACCTTAATTTAAGGTATTCAACACTATTTTTAAATACATGTTTTATTCGAGCATAATGAAACTCACGTTAAAGAGGTACAACTGCGCAATCAAAAAGAAAGGAGACTGAAAGGGGAAGAAAAAATGTAGGGTTTTGCCATGCAGGGCAGGCAAACCAGAAATGTCTGCTTTTGGGGCTGTGGAGGTGGTTCTTTATGGTCATAGCTTTTGGGGTGTGGGGCTTGGCGGGAATATCAAAGTCATGCCAAATTACGCAACAGCCAAAGCGTTGTTCTTGGTAACCCGCTGACCGAAGATTTAGGAAAGAGGCAGAAGGGAGCTTAGAAGCTAGACTCCAATTTCAGTGTTCAAGTCTGAAGTACTCGACAAATTCTTATTAAATAACATGTAGTAGCCTTGCCATGGCTACAACATAAATAAGAAACTGAAGGTTATCGCCATTATCCTCAAGTACCTGGCCAATTTTGTAAGTTTTACGCTTGATAAACTCAATGGGTCATACAAAATCAATTAATATATAATGTTTTTAACTATTGATTTAATGAGCTCTTGCGGTTTATAATTTTCTTTTCACGAACTATGTAACTGTATCGTAGTTTTGTATTTTTGCATAGCAATATCAGCACTTCCCTAGCAATATCCGTACCCACTTACCAATTCAATATCCCCATACTGCTTGTCGCATCCCCTTTCGCTCGCAGACTATCCTTTGTGTCCTTTCACCTTTTTATAGACTTCCGCAGCAATAGATCTAGTAAACAATAATGCCTTCACTCCATTCCTTTCTCTCTGGGCATCCTTTTCGCACTACCACATTTTGCAGGGCCCGTTCAAGCGTAATTTAATTTTGCGCGCCATTTATTTATAGTGGCCAGGCAAAGGAACTCGAGGCACCAGCCAGGATAGTTTTGCCTGTGGGTAAATTATGGTTCCAGGGCAAATTAGGTTGGGTCACATGGCCAGGATGCTCCGATGAGGATGTATGTAGATGGGAATTTGCTGGATGCAGAGTTGATACACCTGATGCCAGCGAAGAATTACCTGAAAAATGAAAATAAATTATGAAATATTGTATAAAGAGCTTGTAATAGTTTAAAAATAATACATTGTTCTGGTTAACATAATCAGAGGACAAAAATATAAAAATTTGTTAACGACTACCAGTACCACTAGAGTAGGTAATATCTCTAGATGTATGATCCAGAAATTATCATTCCCGTATGCGCCGGTTTATGTATGCCCCTGGCTCCCTTTTGGCCTCTCTTATTTAACTTCCTCTGTTTTGTTTTTCTGGTTTTGTTATGCGGTGGCATCTGTTTTTGCCACAACAAAAAAAAAACGAGGAGAGTGCGTAAAATGCGTTTTAATTGAAAGGAAATGTTCAAAGCACATGTGCAGCTGCTAGTGGGCAAGGGGGCAGGTTGGGGTAAAAGAGGGGGTAAAATAGGAGGGGGTGGCATGGCGGCCTGTGTCTGCTAATTGAATTACCTTTCGGTTGCTTTTCCCATTAGAAGTGCCGCCAAGTTCTAGAGCTGCTTGTTTGCTTTTCATTTAATACCCATTTTGATTCAATTTTAGTTTTTCTTATTTTTTGACCCAATTTCACTTTGCTTTCGTGCATTTTCAGCTGTCTGCGTCTAACGTTATGCAGCCAAGAGAGTAGCAAAGAGAGTCGCTCTCGCTCTTTTGCAGGTGGGGAGGACTTGAATTTTCAAACGATTTCTTTGCAGGACACAGAAGTCTTTATAAGTTTCTGAATATATATATATTCATGTACAGTGGACAAACAAGTTTACGAACATTTTATATAAAGTTGAAGTGCAAAGTGTACATTAAATTTTTTTGCCCACCGTATATACATATATTTTTAAAAAGCATAGTATTCTAATTTGGTTTTGGAAATTTTAATTTGATGGATTTTTAATATGGAGTTTTGGATAATAACGTATAACAAATTTTGATTTTGGAATGTATTTAACATAGTTGTTTTCGAAAAAAAATGTTAACGTCTTAATTCTTTTTAATTATGGAACTTGTTTCAATATTTGAATTCATACTATAATATTGCCCCTTTTTTTCTCACCTCACAGGCTTCAAGAATGGGTTCTGGTGATGCGGAGAACGGCAAGAAGATCTTCGTGCAGAAGTGCGCCCAGTGCCACACTTACGAGGTGGGTGGCAAGCACAAGGTTGGCCCAAATCTGGGCGGAATTGTGGGTCGCAAGAGTGGCACTGCGCCTGGCTACAAGTACACGGAGGCCAATATGAAAAGGGCCGTTTCCTGGACGGAGGGGAATCTAGACGAGTATCTAAAAGACCCGAAGAAGTACATCCCCGGCACAAAGATGGTGTTCGCCGGTCTCAAAAAAGCTGAAGATCGGGCCGATTTGATTGCCTTCCTCAAGACAAACAAGTAAAAGAAAAACTCCTGCAAAACAACAAGATCGGCAACCATAACATCAGAAAGACGGCACTAAAGAAATTAGACCTAACACTTGCAACATTTATTGAGTGCAACTAATCACATTAATCTTTAATTGGAAGCAACCCATGCCCAATAATACTTTAAAAAGGTTTACTTCTAATTTTGTCAATTAAAGTTGAGGAAAGTAATAAGTTGTTTTCTTTAATTTTAATTGCGCGCCCAGCAGGGTTGCATGTGCGTGGTATATCACTTAGCTTTTGCCAAATATGTTTCAAATCCGCTATTTTTGTAAACTAATATTATTTTACACAAATGCTTTAATTGTGGTTTAACGTAGTGCGTACAAAGAGGTTTTAAAGTGGAGTATGTGTCAACGAGCAGTTTTAGGAAACTGAAAAATTACGTATACGACCAGAGTTGAAAAACGACCTTACCAAAGAAACCGTTTGCGTTTTTTTAAATGTAAGCGCCGGTCACTCTGCCGCTGCAATTTCCTATCGACAAGACGCGCGGTCTTCATTCGTAAAAAATCGGCGACGCTCGACGTTTGTGTTCAATGTAAGTAGTGGGTGTAGTTTTCGAATTTTCAAGTGACGTAAATACTACCTTGAAAAGTTATTGATTAGCGAGTTCTCAACTAGATAGTAATGGAAAACACTTCCGTGTAGTTTCTGTTATAAAATTTCCAGTCGCTCACTGCTGTGTAAATTATTACCATGCAAATAATTATTTTTGGGGGATGATTCAGGTTACATAAACGTGTCCTTGTGCGTGTGTATAACAGTGCGAACTGTGATAGGTTGTTTTTAAGTGTATTCGCTGAGTTTTCCAAAAGCAAACATTAGCAGTAATTTATTAATGGCAAAAATAGCATCCCAAAGTCACATTGCCATTGAAAAAAAACCCCGGAGAGCGTCGATTACATGAGCAAAGAGAGTGGAGCACCCGATCATCAGCTGTCTCGCTCGCTCTGTCTGGCAAAAAAAAATATATCAATTCTTGGAATTTTTTGTTTGCTTTGCTTTTTGCTTTGGAGTTCAAAAGCGCGCCACGTGGTTGCTAAGCAGGTTTTGATTTCCCTTGCCATTTTTAATATGGCAGAAAGGAGATGATATCCCCTTTTGCAAGGAGGCGGCTTATGTAACATTCGCATTTCTGAGGAAAATGGTCCAATTTTCACACATCTCTCTCATTGTCTCTATTTCTCACCCACACATAGACAGCTGCCTTTGGCCTGCTTCCAATTTTCCAATTGCACTTTCTCTCTTCCTTTCACACGCACGAGAACTTACTGAAAAGTTCTCCTCAAGGCCAAATCAGATGTTGACATTGTTGTTGCTTTGCCATCTCTCCCTCTCTAGGTGCATGTTAGTATGCACATAAAAAAAAAACTCGTGATGTAATGATAAGTTTCCAGATTTTATATGCACATGTATACTGTTTAACCAGCTATCAGCATGTAAATTTGTTGTTTTTAAAATGTCAATACAAAAGT